TTTAAACAGAAAATTGGACTTTTGATGGGCATTTTAGTGACTACATAAGAGTTTCTTCTTTAGAGAAGCATTTCACACATCTCCAAATGTTGCCTACAAAATGTAAATGAAAGAAATGTACCAGCGAGGGACGTTAAAAAATCTATTATCAAAAAATACTTCACACCCGCAAAAAAAACCAAAAATGAAGCGAAGGGAGAAGAGAAAACAAAATTAAGTTTATATTAATAAAATTTAAGCAAAAAACTACCACTTAGCTTAATATGGGAGAAGATATAGCTTAAAGAGTTAAAGTATTTTATTATTTTACACTCTCCTTAAAGAGTTTGAAGATGTGGACATTTCTGAATGATCAAAAACTCAATCTGCAAACCTGATATCGGATGAAAAAATGAAAAAATATCCACTATATTCTTCTTTATGGTACCGAAGCTTGGGCTGTTAATGTTGACTTATGAGATGTGGTTTTTTAGGAAACTTTTAAAAATACCAGGGACAGAGCATATTATGAACGAAATGATAGAGAATGGGAACAAATAGAGAACTTTGCACTGATATAGGCAAAGGAAGGAACGGTGTTCTGGTAAACGACAAATATCCCGGCTGAAAAACCACTGAAGAACCGAGTGTAGCACACTAGCACACTGTAGTAAGTGGGACAAATGTAATCACCCCATTGGAAAAGGCTATACCTTTATAGCAGAATACAAATCAACAAGTCATGAATCGGTTTACTCCACAAGAACGTGGAATAATAATTGTTTCCATTTTTTGAGCAATATTCGTGGGTTGTGTTGGGCAGCGTGATCTGCCTGGTCGTCCGACACCAACTGGAAAAAGAAAGAATATGAAAAATGGGGCCTCAATATGAATATGTCAAAGACAGAGTATCTTAAAATAGGAGATGATGAAGAAGATCCAGAATTAGAAATTAGAAACACAAAAACATGCAAGGAATATAAATATCTAAAATATATACCACAATATATTTATTGTGGTTTATCGCTATAAAATAAATTATTCAGCGCGAAACATGCCATAAAAATATTTTCAGAACTACAAGAAGGAATAATAAATAGGATAGGGGCAACGACGAAAAAAAGTTCTAAAATACTTGTTTATGAACAGGGATAGTGGAAATGTAAGATTACATTTTTATTCGAACTCCAATAAAATCCATATGACATAAAAAGGTAAAAACAGGTTAGTATCGACTTCGCAGATCGACGTCTAAATTTGGCATACGATCAAGACGACCATGAAACACTTATGAGACGAGAACATTGCTACAGAGAAAAGGTGGCGTTATTCTTAATAAAATCGATGTTCACTTGGCAACGTTTCGTGTTTTTATGACTTCAATAAAGTTTTTTTACTTCCCGCTATATTTGAATCGTAAAAAGGATTGAGCGAAAATGCAGCATTTAGAATCATTAAAAGTTTATAATGATTCACTATTAGATTTCAGGCAAACACGATAACCAGAAAAACTTAAACTAACCTAACTAAAAATACGGTGAAGTGAACGAAATAAGGATAATGTATAATTTGTTTTTGAATATCAAAATACATATTTACAATCTTCAAACCACATGACACATTAAACAACAATTGTTTATGCAACAAATGAGGCCTTTTCTTTAAGATTTCGGTCTTCAAACACTCCATTGATACAATTCGTCAGCTAATTAAGCATGACCGCCGTGTAACATACCGGGAGAGAGAGGCATCTTTGGGCATTCAAAAACCTCGATCCAAAAGATCCTATATGAAGAACTGGGTGTTACGAAGTGGTTTCCCGTTGGATCCCTCATTTGCTCAGAGAAAGACGGTTTCGCGTCAATTGGTGTCGAAAAACATTGGAACGGTTCAACTAAAGGAAGCTCCGAAAATAAACGCCAATCCGCTGTGTAGGTGTTTCACGATGAGGAAAAACCAACAAGTGATCCGTTCTCGAAGCGTGTCAAAAAAGTGCTCACAACTTTTGTGCCAAAATCTGGTCATGTGGCAACAATTGCTTTAGAAGATCGAAGTACGGTTACTTCTGATTGCTATATAACCGTTTGTTTACCAGAAGTTATTGCAAACTCCGACAAAGCAACACACAACGGGAATCATCCTAGATCAGGACAATACAAGTGCTCACATTTCCCAAAAGACAACAAGAGTTTTTGGAGCTTCAAAACGTCTAATTGTTAAACCATCCACCGTATAGCCCCGACCTAAGTTCCAAAAACTTCACGTTTCCAAAGATCCCGAATTCAATGCGTGGACAGCGATTCCAGTCGCCAGAAGAAGTCATCGATGCCTTTAAACACCGAATTTAAAGGTGTCAATTGAAGACTGGAATAACTGTTTTAAAAATTGGTTTGATCGTATGCAAAAGTGTATCGATGTTGGTGGGATATATTTGAAAAGCAATGTAGTCTTTATGACTACATGCAAAACTAAAAAGACAACCCTCGTTGAAACTAATAAAACACAAGGATACGAAAACTGATTGAAAAAACCATTAATTTATTACAGTGTAAACGATAATTGAATAAGCAAATAAATGACGACCTGGAGAAGAAAAAGTAAAACGATGGATGAAAATTATGAAAATGGACACCGACAATTGCTAGGGAAAAATTGTATCACAATAACAAAAATTCAATTATTGTAGCGCCTTGGTTTTTATTGGTAAAAAACAGATAAAAAAAATTTAAGGAATACAAAATGATTTAAACATTTATCATCATTCGCTGGAAGGCGATTCGCTAAAACTGATAGAGAAATTTCGAAAATTTCCCGTGCATGTATTTCTGAAAGGAGTTCGATAAAATGCAGTTCATTACCTTGAACCTTGGCATATCAATCTAATGGGGTGAACGTACCTTTTGATACGTTTACATTTATAAGTAAACAATTGATATTTTTAGTTACATGCAAGCGGTCATATGGATGATCTCCTTCAAATTGATACATCGCCAACAAGATCTTTATACATCAGTGAAATCAAACGTTTGAGGCATCGTGAATATTGTTAAAAATTAATTATTTTCATACAGTACTTGGTCAAATTATTAGGCCAAGCATTAAAAATTTTAATATTTTTTAAATTAATAATTTTTATCAACAGAAATGTCATTATTTTTTCGCATAGCAACATTTAATATAGTATGGTAACATTATTGTATTATTTTAACGTTGGCAACACCGCCCTATCCGCCATTTCTAGACAGCATTGCGTCCTGTCAACTAGTGTGCATTTTATAACCTCAAATACTGTCTGTGAACATTTGAATTCTGAACGGTTTTGACCTGAAATTTTATTGCGGAGGTGAGCGATTTATCCTTTTTTTATTATGTTATAATTAAGGGTATTGTTACGATAAATATGACTCATATCCTAAACTGTAAATATATTTTTCTAACAAGTATTTTTTAGTAGGGTCCCCTCCGATAAAACCTGTCTGGGATCCATGGCGTTCGAGAAAGTTCAGGAAGTTCGTTGCTTGGCCTAATAAGTTGACCAGGTACTGTATTTTTTCTGATATTCAATCGATTAGAAACCAGTTGTTTTTCTTCATTTCAGGAAGTACAGATCTACATGGAAACATATAAAACTGGCATAAATTAATAACCAGCGAAGACAATAGAGTATACATACGTAGGGTTACCATATTCATTGGTACTTATAGGTACGTTGATGCCAAACAAATAAGATGTACGTAGATGATGTTAAAACTGAAACAAATCATTGGGTATTTTTGATTTTTGTTTTCATGTTTTACCACTTTTTATTAATTTTAGTTTTTAAATATTTTCCACTTTCCCTTCCTATTTCATTTCATTCGTCCATTAGACCTTAAATTGAGTAACACAAGTTATAATAATATGTCTGTATTTTACTAATGTATCGGCCATAACACAAACACACAAGAAATATGGAACGAACCACAATAAGAATTTTTGAGGAAGTACATCAGAGGATACATCAAATATACAGAACACAACAGAGAATGATAAGATGCAAAAATGAAACGAAAACAATCAAATGTGTATATAGGTCTGAGAGAAACACCTAAAAATCTAAGCAAAGTATACGAATACCGAACAAGTTTGTGTAGAAATCAAAGATAGATAATAGGGAAATAATAGAAGGAAAATCAGTTTGGAAAATCCTCTTTTAAGCTGCAAGGAATACATACAAGCAAATGTAAAGCCTCTGGATTTGCGGCAGATGTAGACAGAGGATGAAGAGATGATACCTTGACTTTAGAAGAGGTCAAACAAGCAATGATATGTGCACATTAGAGTAGAGAACGATATTAAAACAGTGAGAATCTACTCATATCATGAAGTCCAATTAAATACGGAGAAAACAGATGAAGCAAATTCAAAGAGAGGAATTTTTAAGTCTTGTCTACTTATAAATTCCGCTCCAAAGCATAATCATATAAAATCGTCAGACGAATAGTATGTTAGGGATGTAAAAGGTGAGTGGTGACAGAAAACATAAAAATATAGCAGTTTTTAGAAAGATGATAAAATTCAGGACCAAACACCAAACGGGAGACCACGTAATAAATGGAAGAGTAAAGTGGTAAATGAGGCTCATTAGAAGAAAAAAAATCAACCATTACATTTCATTGTCTGCTTTTTGTTGCCTTTCTTTGCAAATTTGCTCTTAAATCAACATATCTTGTAAATATTTTATGTAAATATCTACAAAAAAGACGAAAGTTATTGCATTTGAAGGCAAGTATCCCATAAGAACCAAAAAGACTAATTGGCGATCATCCATTGGAACAAGTCAGTCATTTCATTTGGGTAAGGTGTCACAAGAGCTGGATATCTACTTTAATGTAGAATACAACACAAAATGGTAAACACTTATGTTACAATACAGATATTTTGCATTTTGAAAAACTTTTATGAAGGACACTCTACGGCTATCAAAAAGTTATCTTTTAATTTAGTACAAATTCGGTATAATTGGTCATTTTAACGCTTACCTGCTAAAGCCTTGATTCTAGACCGTTCGAAAAGTCTAGACGATGAATTACCCCCGTCGTATTCGTAATCTTCGACAATTTCTTGTTGCAAGGTGGGGTCCCACCTCACTATACTGATGTCCGTTGTCATTGTTTAAAATTTACCAGCAAAGCTGGCTATCTGTAACAAAAAGAAACATTTGTTAAAAAAATCAAGAGAAACATTTTTTAGAAGAAACATTTGTAAGTTTTTGTTTTTCCTACAATCTGACATAGTTAATCTAGACATAGAATAGAAAACTACATACTTAAAGTATTACATTAAACGACATGATGTCGAAGAATATAGATTTAACTGTCCGGGAGCGATATGTCCATACTCGAAACAGCATTCACACGAGTTTTGGTCTGCAATAGTCAGCCAAATGATATAGCCAGCAATATTTATATAGTAAATGAATAAAAAAACAGCTTCGACAGTTTTACTAGAGTAAGGCAATATAACGCTCACACTGTGGCAAGGCTATAATCCCCAGATTTCGCCATCTCTCTGGGACATCACTTAGGCAAAATTTTTCTCGTGTGCCACACACCTAGAGATCGGGGAGCGCAGTAGTTGCAACACAAATCTTGCCGTATGATAAACCAGTTATGGTGAAAATAGAAAAATTGGCTTAATTCGGTCACATTATGCGTACAAGTAAATACCGACTTCTATAATTGATTCTACAAGGCAAGGTTGAGGGTAAGAGAGGCACTGGATGCAGACGTATATCCTGGCTGGAAAAATCTTAAGAAATATACTGGTCTAACGTCAACTGATCTATTTCGAGCTGCTATAAGCAGAATAAGATGGGTTAATGTAGCCGCCAAAATCACTAGAAGAAAGGCAACTTTAGAAGAAGTTATGTTCAATCAACGAATCTACTGCGCCCGGATGTTATGCTTTGAGTTAACTTCTTCTTCTTCTTCAAGTGCCCTGTCTGTTGCGAACGTTGGCTATTAACATGGCAATTCTGATCTTGTTTGCGGCGCTTCTGAATAGTTCGACCGATGTGAGCCCGAACTACTTCCGCAGATTTTGGAGCCACGAGTGTCTTTCTGCCTGGCCCTCGCTTACTGTCTATTTTTCCCTGGACATTCAATTGCAGCAAACGGTACTTATCGTGTCTCAATATGTGGCCTAGATATTCAAGCTTTCTTTGTTTAATTGTATTCACGATTTCTTTCTCCTTTCCGATTCTTTGGAGTACCTGTATGTTGGTGACATGTTTGGTCCATTATATACGAAGAATGCGTCGGTACAACCACATTTCGAATGCTTAAGTAATTAATTGAGTTAACTGCGAGTGTTGATTTACTCACACCTGTCCTGTTGACTAATACATTCATAGGACGTTCCCCATTAACCATTTCGTGATGGATATAGGAACCTCTCCACCCAGTCTGCCCGTGCGTGTAGACCTAGTTACTTTGGGACCCGTCCACGCAATCTCAGACCAGCACCGAGTTATATGCATTAATTTTGATTATTCAACGGAAGCTACTATTAAGGGAGACGCAAAATGCCTTAGTTGAGAAATCAAGATAATTGTTTGGTTGCAGCTCGTTAGAATTCTTTAGAAATTAGGCTAATGAGTTTTTTAGACAAGATAGATCTCAGTGTTTTGGTTGTTTTTTTCTTATTTTCTAACGCTTTGGATACTGTATTGGTATTATTGTTCTGAAGCTATTTTATTTAACTGGGAATAAGCCACAATTAAACTTGTTCAATACAAAAATATATACAATTAAGTGTTTTTAATAAAAAACGTACTTTTGACAAAATATTTACTGTCAATATGGTTCTGAAAGTATTTTTTTGTAGTACTTAATGTTATTTATTATTTTTGATAGGAATTAACCAAACTTTCTTTGGATGTTTTGGTTCCTGCTTCGTATTTTGAGAACGTTTTTCAAATTGGAAATCGAAACGTAAAAATAAACGTATGTTCAACTGAATTTGCAACCCCAGGAATGCTTTTTACTGATCAACTACCTACATCTCGCGGGTGAACAAATATACATTCTGCTGATGGGTTTGCAAAGGTTTGTTTACTATATTATCTTTTATTTTGTGCTATTGACGATTTATTTAATTTCAGTAAATTTTAAATTGTTATTGTTATTTTTTTGAGTCTTTGTAAGCTTTCTCCATAAAATTGTACACTTTTCAGTGACGATAAAGCTTATTTCTGTTTTACTCTATTCTAAAAATTGATAAATTCTTGTACATTATTAATTTTAGTCAATGTTGCATGAAAAATTGACATTTCCAATTCGACAACTTTTTTGTTCCAACTGAAATTTGACGGTATTTATGAGTAGAGAGATTAAATTATACCTGACGTTCTTCTATTCAATTCCATTAGATATTTTATCAAGGCAACGTCTGAAAATAGACAGCTGATACCTTTATATAATTATTTTAGCTGGCATCTGTTCATTAAAAGGGTGGCTGACGCAAAGGGCGTGTTAAGTACATATATTTTAGTAGCAAGAACTTTATTTACTTGATACAGAGAGTGGTATGGTTTCCGTTTTCAGGTTAAAATGTTTATAAACACAAGAACATTATAGTAGAGAATTTCCTATTACAAAATTAAAATAATGCTATTCACTGCTTTTTATTGATTCTGTAATTTTAGCCACTTGTTGATATGGTCAATTTTTTTAACTTAGAAAAAATAGTTCATGGTCAATCAATAATGTGCAGGAAGTTTGTATAATATTGCAACACGAATTTCACTAAAAAATAGAATAAATTGTAGCATATGTTAATTAAGTAATATAACATAATATTTGCTAATAATGTACTCGTAATTTTATATCAAAATCTTTGGAATGGATTTTTTGGATGTACAGTTTTATAGAGATATTGTTTGGATACCAGTGTATATCGTTATTAGTTAACTTCATGTCGTCATCTAGTCTTTCTTGTGTCAACTAAGTTTCAATATTGTACGATCTCTGTTGAGGTAATTTGTAATTATAATGACATTTTGAACTATTAAATCCAAATTCTAAAGAAATTATGGAATTATGCGGAGCCTCTTACTGAGTTGTAACTCGACTAAGCTGTTGAACGGATGAAGATTCGAAGGCACCTAGCATAGACGGAGTCATGCCGGAGACAATAAGACCGCACTAATATACTTGCAGGTTTTCCTGAGATTGCTAAACAAACTGCTTGAACAACAGCAGTTTCGAACAGACGCTAAGGTTGTCCTTATCCCAAAAGGTAGATGTGATTAGGAAGAGATATGCTTTCGGCCAATTTGCCTTCTTAGTTCGGTAGCTAAATAAGGCCGCCTTGAGCAAGAGCTACAAGAAAAGCAAGCGCTGAGCGACCGCCAATATGGTTTTAGGGCCAAAAGGTCCACCATAGATGCGGTCCAGAAGTGACCCTTTAGTCACGCAAGATACAAATAGATGGGTGGCTCTCATCCTGCTGTACGTCAACAATGCCTTTAACACGGCTTCAAGGGAAAAAATCATGTCCAGACTGAAAAAATTGGGCGATAGTGAGCTATCTGGTAAACGTAATTAACAGAAACTTTACTGACAGGTCCATAAGGAAAAAAGATACCAGCATGAGGTTGTCGCAGGGTGTTCCGCAGGATTCAGTACTAGATCCCACCCTTTGGAATGTCCTGTACGATGGAGTGTTGAGGCTACAGATGCCAAGGGGATGCACTCTTCTAGCTTATGTCGATAATCTCGCACTGGTTGCGAATTCGAGTTGAGTTAGTCATGTACATGACTAATGAGGCTAATATAGCACTAAGTCGTGTTAGTAGATGGATCAGAGAGAACGATCTACAGCTAGCACCTCAGAAAACTGAGGCTTTGCAGTGGAAGGTGTGGAGGTTGCACCGGTTAAATCGGTTATTTCGGAATCTGGTTGTCGGAAGGACTGAGGTTCAGAGTATACATACAAAAGACGGTAAAAAAAGGCGAACCGAAGGCACTCCTTTGAGACTGGTAGATAACTGGCAAAGAATCTCGATTTACGTTTTTCAGAACTCGCGAATGATACTGATGCAATATCGATCCACATACACATTACCACTCATTACATATTACGTTTTTATTGTTGAAATGTTTGTCTGATGAAAATCAGTCCTGGTTAGCCAGACTTTCCGGTTATCGGAGGCCGACTTATCGAGTTCCAATGTACATGAAAAAGAGAAAAATCAAAGAAGCAGCTCCCATCTTACTAAAGAAAATAGCAAAGCCATCAGTCGAATGTAACAGGCTTTGGTTGCCAATACTAAAAGAAGACGTCAACAACAAGAACATACCAACAATAGCTGATTAAAAGAAGTCGCAGGCATCATCTACAATGGACAGCCGGAGTGTGACGTCACATCTGTCATATTGTTGTCATTACTTTCCAAACAATAGTTGAAATGTCAAATCTCAAGACTTTTTAATTTCTATAAAGTTAACATTTTGCTTCTTTTGCTACTTTTTCTTTTAAGTATAGTGTTTTTTACGATAATACCATCACAATTCGGTGTTCTATTTTTATGAAATATAGTTTAAATGTATACATTAAGGACATTCTAACCTTACTTTATCGATGCATGCATTTTATTGCTATTTTTATAAAACAACATGCTTTATTATTTACAAAACCTTGTAAACATGTTGTAGTAACTATTAGAATACTTAGATATTGCAAAAAGCGGAAAGATTCTGTAAAAAAAATTAAAAAATAACGAAAAATACAAATTATCCACACTAAACAATGTATGTTTGGAAAGTGAAACTGACAGATGTCAATCAAATCTACGTCATCACTCCTGCGGTCCATTATACAAAATACATAATGCAACACACAATACACAAACATATAATCTACGTAAATACACATTACACAAACAAATAATACAAGAAAACACACAAACCGTTAAAATTTGACATGCGCGGGTAAAAACACCGCCCTTAGATTTTTTTCAACCATAAGTATGCTCCATATTTGTAGGTTAGACATTTTCGAAGAATTTTTAAATAGTGTTTTTTGAAAACGATTTTCAGAGTGGAAATCGAAGTGTCAAAGTCAGATAAAAATGTAATTTTTATTACAATCAATTATGGTTTAATAAAGTTGATCTTAATAATAAAGATATTTTATTT